CGACTCCTATCCGGAACATTCTAGAATCCTCAAAATCCCTAAAAAATCAGATGGAGCAATTGATCAAGCTTCTTAGAGCCAAACAAGCCTCCGAAGGTCTATCGTCCTCTCATGTCCGACAAGGTACTCTTTCTATGGCTCTTACAGCTTATTCCTCCTTTAATCGTAGCGTCTTTTGCTGAACTCTAAGGTAGATCAACATATGTGAAAAGAATACATAGGTGACATGACTTTGCCTATCTATCTTTTAGATGAAATGAAGTATGCACACTACGACTTAGGCAGTTAATCGGATCAGCAACCTTCTCCCCTTACCGCTCCGTGGGTTAGGTAGATTTCTTTCTGGGTCACTTCACTTCCTTTCGAGAGCAAGAAAACTCTCCTCTAAATAGATCAAGCAAAAATCATCGTCGAGTTTTGCTAGAGTAGGTTCAATAAAAATCATCCCACCCTAGCTCTTCTCTTTATTATTCATTTAGGTATCACATATCACATGACTGGATGCTCGCAAGCTTTCACAACTTACTATTCATGTTGTTCTATTGCTGGTAAATGATTAATTGTACTAACAATCAATCTCTCTGGAGTTTGTTTTACATATTTCTCAGTTGTAGTTTACCTTGTTATCTATCAACAAGTTGACAAATGATATTGATTGCCTGACTGAGTTCTCTTATGATGGTCGTTCGACGAGGATGATTGGAAGTGCTAAGATGGTAGTCAGACTCTACGCTTATAAGAGAAGAACACGGAGAGTGAGGACACACCTCTCAGGAGTTGTAGCTTCTCTAGAGTCGTTAAATGTTTTATTATGTTGTTGCATTGTCGTTTAGGTCATCCTAATTTTCAATATTTAAAAAATTATATCCTTTGATATTTCTAATAAAAACCCTTCTAATTTCAACTGTAAGGCATGCCAGTTATTCAAATATCATCGGGTTCATTACCCACTCCACACTTACATTTTGTTCATTTCTCTCTCATTCGCAGTGACCTATGAAGACCTTCTAACACTTCCAAGTACACAAATAAACGGTAGTTCGTAATCAAGATTGATGATCATACTCGGATGACGTGGATCTACATTTTAGAAGATAAATCAGAGGTTGTTGTCACATTCCAAAATTTTTACACCTTCATTTTAACTTAATGCAAAAATTCTATCCAAGTCCTTCAGACTAACAATAGTCGTAAGTTCTTCAACTTTATTTTAGATGATTTTTTTGTGAGCAAAGACATCCTCCACCACAACTCGTTTATGGACACTCAACAAAATGGAGTAAGCCGAGACAAAAAAACGTCACCTCCTCGAAGTTGCTCGCTCTATTATGTTTCAATACAATGTTTCGAAATATTTTTGGAACGATGTGATTCACACTGCCGCTTATCTCATAAATAGAGTCCCCTCTAAAATTCACAAGTTCTGAACCTTTTAGCCATCTTAATGTCTTGCTTCCCTGCTCATCGAATCTTCTCCACATTAGACCCCAATATTTGTTGGGTGCACTGCCTTTGTTCGGATCAATGTCCCAAATCAAAGCAAAATCCTAGATCCATAAAATATATTTTTTCTTCGGTATTTCGCCACTCAAAAGGGGTATCGGTGTCTTGATACTACCACTAACAAAATCTATGTGAGTGTTAATGTCTCATTCTTCGAAAGTGTTTCATATTTTTTTAACTTGACCTCAAGCGAGGGGGAGCTTGAGTTTTTAGACAGTGTCCCTTATTCTACTCCTATAGATGCTCTCCCCATTGTTCCTGCCACTGAGTCCTTTGTTCAGGTGAGTGCACCATCTCCTCCCATTATCCGTGTCTTCACTCAGCGCGCCCATTTCAATGCTCCTACTCTGGAACCCGCTAACTCCATATAGGACCTTAACTCCACTCTAGACAAAATCCTCAGCATGAACCCTCCTCCGAATGAGGAGGCGAGTTTCCCTTGTAAGGCATGCAAGCTCCCTCTACTCTATGGTAAAATATATCTCTTTCCGCAATTTATCGCCGAAATATAGAGCATTTGTTTTTGCCCTGACAAACCATCGGATCCCAGCTACTATTGAGGATGCTCTTGTTAATCCAGCCTGGAAAACAACAGTAATGGAAGAGATGAACGCCCTTCGGCGGAACCATACGTGGGACGTCGTTGATCTTCCTCAAGGTAAAAAAACTGTGGGGTGTCGATGGATTTTCAGCACAAAGTTCAAAGTTGATGTATCATTTGAATGCAACATGACTCGATTGGTTATCAAAAGGTACTCACAGACCTATGGAGTTGACTATGAGGAGACATTTTCTATTATCCCTTGCAGTGAATCTGGTTTAGCCTTTATTTCAGCTAGATGTCAAGAATGTGTTCTTGAATGAAGAGTTTACAGAAGAGGTATACATGTCTATCCCTCCTGGCTTTGACTCTACTGCCTCCAAACGGCAAGTGTGTAGGCTGTGAAAGTCCCACTTTGAGCTAAAGCAATTTCTAAGGGACTGACTCGACAAGTTCACAAAGGTGGTCGTTGGTCATGGTTTTATTCAGGCTCAATCGGATCACACTCTCTTCTTTCAGTATTTCTCCAATGGTCAGGCAGCTATCCTTATTGTCTGTTTGACGATATTGTTCTTACAGGTAGCGATCTCCCAACTTTGGAGTCCTTGAAAGATATTATTGCTAAGTTCTTTGAAATTAATGACTTAGGATCTCTCCGATATTCTTAGGCATGAAAGTGGTTCGATCATCTTGGGGCATTTGTTTATCTCAACGCAATTATGTGGTTGATCTCTTGACAGAGAATAACCTTTTTTCTGTGCAAACCAGTGACTGTCTCTATGAATCCCAATGAAAATATCTGACATTCCCCTTGTGGGGAAATTCATCTACTTTGCTCATATTCACCTCGACATATACCATGTAGTTGGTATAGCGAGTCAAGTTATGCATAACCCTTATGAGCACCATCTCAAAGTTATCCAACGGATTCTCCATTATTTAAATGATGCATCAGACTCAGGTTTGTTTTTCTCTCATCTCACCTCTCAGTCTATTGTTGTTTATACAGATGCAGATTGGGCTGGGTTGGTTCTTGATTGACGTTCCACCTCAAGGTATTGTTAATTTGTATGAGGAAAACTTGTCACATTGAAAAACAAAAAACAGTCTGTGGTTGTCTGGAGCAGTGCGGAAGCTAAATTCCAGTCCATTTGCTTGCAGATTTGTGAAGCTCTCTGGTTATGCATATTGCTTCGTGAACTTCGTATCTCAACCTCTGTCCCGCTGCAACTGTTCTGTGATAATATGACCGCCATCAGCATTACTCACAATCCAGTCTCGCATGATTGTACCAAAAATGTCAAGATTGACAAACACTAAGGAAAAGATTAAGTTCAGAAAAATTTGTGTTTCTTTTGTGTCTTCCAGTGGTCAACTAGCTAATATTCTCAGTGAGAATCTTTCTTGTTCTTTGTTCGATGTTTTCAAATTCATGTTAAATATGATTGACATCCATGCTTCAACTTGCGGAGGAGTATTAAATTTATTTGTAACGGCAATCATATCCTTGACCGTTATTACTTATTATTTCTTTCCTATTAGCTTTTATTCTTTTCTTACGTATTTATTTTTTATTTTGTTATGTTTTATTTTTTTTTTCTTTGTTATATCTATTTTAATTGGATTTGAATATCTCTCCTATCAATGAAAATAAGCTGCTCTATTCTCATATTTGACAATTTTCTAGGCAGATATATGTTAAGAGAATTTCGTTGAATAGTTCATCATGTGATATGTTGTTCCATTTTGCAAATTTTATTTGATCCATTTTCAAAAAAAAATAAAAAACATGATTGGTATGAAATGGAGCTCTCATTCTATTGATCCATAGAACAAATACCATTGGTTTATCAAATATTGTCAAGAAATTATAAAGTTTCTATTTTTCTTCTTAATTTAGTCCTTCCATAATTGTGATAGATTTTTCTTCCATATATTGAGCGTTGGCTTAGTGGTATTTGAATTAGTTTTGATAAGGAGACTTTTTTTTGTATGAAGTCTACATTTGGAGTTTCCAACATGTCTTTTGTATGTCCTATCTTTTTACAATAAGGCGCACCTTCTCAATGGCCCCTATTTGAGTATGCGTTGCTTGATCATGCTTGTGTTAGTGTATGGACAACAAATTGGAATATACTCTCCCAACAGGTGGGGGTTCTGACATAAGAGCCCGTGCACATTTTCTATTTTCAGATGTGGAGTTTGCTGGCAGAGTGTTAGTTCGGCCTGAACTTACAATTTCATCTCCTTTTTTGTTTTTTCTTTTTTGTATTTACTGGATCATAGAGATTTTTACTTTATACATGAATGAATTTGTCCTTCTCTAGATGGCTTTTGCTAAGCTTTGCTTGTGAAGGTTTCTGCCTAAATTTGGTTTATATAACTGGCTTGTTTGATAAACGACCTCCACCTGTTAGTTCATTGGACTGCTCATTTATAGGGAAAAGCTACTAGCATATTCTGAGCTCTTAGAGAATGCATAGTGCTTCTCTCCAGTTGTTTAAGCACCTAAGCCTTTGCATGTTTTCATGATTTATCTACTTTTCCTTAGGCATCTCCCTCCCATCTTTGGCCTTCTCATTGAACTTCTTGCTCTTCAATCTCCAACTCCTAGTGGCAATTTTCTGCTCCTTTATTGCGTTACATTTTTCTTTCTCCTTTTTTTTTTTTTTTTGTTGTGATTAGAAGTCCATCATCATCATATCATCAGTAATCTATTTCTACCATTTGGGGCCCATGAATAATCTGAGTTGTAAAAAAAAAAGAAATCTTTGTTATATTTCAGTTGAATATTAACGTTATCATTGAATGATTTGCATAACACGGTCATCTAATTCACATTTTTTTTATCATTGCAACTATATGTGTTGCTATTTTTTCTGACAACGTTTGCTTCTGTTTTATTGATTCTTTTTTGCTAACTCTTATTTCTTTACTTTCTGCTTCGATAATGCAGCATCTAAGCCAGAAGAGGTAAAACGTCTTCCTGGCGGTAAGATAAAGAAAAAGGTGAGACGATAAATTCTGTTATGTTTGCTTGTTTATGAACTAGGAGTTCCTTTAAAAAATAAAAAAAAAACTCAAATTACCTACTGCTACTTGCAATGCAAACCATACTACCAGTTAACCAAAAGGCTTATTATTGATTTTTATGAGATCTCTTGCATCTTAATTGTAGTTGTCCAGCTGTATTTTATCATCCATTTAATTTTTTTAATAGAAATTTACATGCGTACCACACAAGACTTCTGGATTTACATATTTAACGCCTATATTTTGATATATATACATTTATAAGACCTTGGTGCTATAAACCTTTTGCATAAAAAGATGTGAATGACTTTTAAAAAGTAAGAAATGTGATGTTAAATTTTAATTGTTATGAATGTAAATATTAAAGTTTGGATGTTAGATATTGTAAAATACATAAGAATTCTGTGGTACGTGTAAATCCCCCATTTTTTAAATGCGTTTGATTTTGCTATTAGTATTAGTTGCTCTATTTTCTTTTTGCTCCTCAGAATATTTCTTTGAAGGAACCAGCCTTCTAATCAGATGATACCCTTTGTAGCTTCATAATTTTGCTTGAAGATCAATACGCTCTTGATGTTGCCCCTCTTATTTGCAGTTCATTTTATAAGACCTATTGATGTATGATGTCTTTAGGTTTGGAATTCACCACTAATACAAGCTTAGGACGAGATATACAAAAAAAAAAAGAAAATAAAAACATAAAAAAAGTCGCAGTTTTCCAGATTTTACTTTAGGCAAATATTAGTCCCTGTTGATGTGAAACCTGAAAATACATCTAATTTACTTCAATTGATAATTTTAAATTTTTCAATGAATTAATATAATGTTCAACATACTAAGATTCAACCTTAAAAAAAAACAGGTAACTTGACCAAATATCAATCGTGTTTCCAAACTGGTAACAAAAAGAAAAGACAGAGGAAACAGATCATCAAAGAGAAGCATCTCTTAGAAGTTGCCATCTAGATTTGTAATGCATTTGAAGAATTTTTATCCAATACCGCACACAGTTGTTGAGAGGAATAAATGAATTTACTTAATTTATTCATTTAAAATTACATACCTTTGGCTCAAACCCAAAAGTCTCAAAATCAGACTCATAATACAAGAAAATCTGAACGAGCACAACAAAAATTTTCAATTCACACACTTGGTTTCCAACATGAAGCAGTATGTTTCTAATCGTAGTTTTAGCAAAACAGCAAACTTTTAATTTAAATTTATAGCCATGTTTGGTCTCCTGCAACGGTAAAATATTACATAAAAAGAATCCAAAACATTGTAGGTACATGAAAGAAAAGAGATTACAAATCAAGGGCATTCTCAGAAGAAAGGCAATTCTGATTTAAAGCACAGAATCTCGACAACAGTGCCAAAGCTGCAATCCAACAATTGCCACCTTCATACTTAATTACATGTACAGAACTAGGAAATATGGGGAACAACAAATTTCATGAATAGCTATTCAAGAAATTAACAATATAACTAATGTTGAATTCCAATAGAGAACACCCCCACTTGAAACCAAATTAAGGCTCCAAACCAACCTATCAAACATAAATTCAATTAGGGCTGTAATTAGGGGTGCAAACAAGTAATGTTGAACTTAAGGCACCTTTGGCTTGAACTTGAAGTTCGAGCTCGAGCTCAAGCTCAATTTTATGGGTTGAGTTGGTTCATTTATTATGTAATGGAAAACTATTCTGATTCAAGTTATTGCAATCAAATGATAAAAAAATTAGCAATTAGAGAGAAAGTAATAAGAAATCACTTTATAAGAAAGTGATATAGTTTTTAAATATTTTGAACAACTTTGTGCTTAAACATTTGAATTCTAATGTAAATTTAAACGTATTTTTTATAAAAGTTTTAAAGTAAGTGGGCTCACGAGCTAACAAGTAGAGAATACCTCAAGCTTAGCTTGTTATCTTGTCATGTTTGGTTAACGAGCTATTTTTCTAGCCAAGCTTGTGTTAGCTCAAGTGTTAGCTTGACTGAATTACACATGTATTTGTAATCAGTAATCTAGAGGATCCATGAACATTAAAAAACAATGCATGTATAGCGGTAGGAAAAAAAAACAAGAAGCAACATGAAACCAACTACACAATAATACAATGAACCAATTGATGGCACATCAGAGAAGATCACAATCAATTCTCAATAGGGCATCATCATGTATTTCCAAGATAAAAAAAAAAAAAAAAAAAAAAGGAGGGGCGTAGGGGCATTTGCATACATAACTCATAATTCTTATGTATTTAAATTATCTAACTCCCAAACATTCATAATTACATGGATACCCACTTAAACCATCACATCAAACATACCACCATCACTATCTTTTTAAAAGTGAAATACACATTTTCATGCATATGTTTATAACATCAAGGTGTTATAAGTATAAATATCAAACTGTAGGTGTTTGATATGTAAATACATAAGAATTTTGTGGTATGTATGTAAATTTCCCAAAAAATAACATAAACCAAGATAAAACATTGCTCAAACAATCAAATTACTCATCTTAATTCACAAAATTTGTGTTACAAACTAATATTGACTTTTCAATTTACATCAGTACTTGTTTTGTCAAGTGTAATGTTCTACGGCTTGTTACCTAAGCTACCTACCAGTCACCTCTTCAGCCGGTTGATGTGTTGCAATTAGTATTTCTTCCACTTTTTCAATGATACAAATTTCAGGGATTTTGTTCTCTCTCATATGCTTTTGTGCTTGGGGATTTGTTTGGATATGACTAGCATATAAACTTTTGGAGGCAAAAAATTGCTTTTTAAATGCACAAATGTCTCAAGTGTGCTAACAATAAGAGAATATGTTAGAAACTTACAGATATATTATTGAGTATAATTTATTGAAACCAATTATGCTATGAATTGGGTATTAGAAAGTCGCTAATAGCAAAGTTGAGCATGACAACATAAAAAAGATAGAAGTTTGGTGAAACGAGGAATTGTGGAGTGGTAAATGATTACATTAGAGATTGCGTGACGTGGGAGTACAACATATTGGTAATAAGGTAGTGAACATTTAATTTAGCCTATAAGGTGGATGATAGAGCTATTGTGGAAGGATTTAGATGGAAATCAAAGTTAACATCAGAATGAGTTTAAAATAACTTATGTGGCACTCAGGATTGGATGGAGGGAAATTTAATTGGTAGAGCTTTAATATTTAGGATAAGATTAATTATGAGTATGATTATTATGATGACTGAGCTTATATTTTATCTTTTTCTTTGGTTTGGTATGATTATGAGAGAAATGCGAGTCATGGGTTACCATGGAAAAAAGATGTTTTTTGTTTTTCTAATAACAAAAGCGTATTCATAAATAGTTGCTTTAACTCCCTATATGGCATCATTTGCATTTTTTTTATGTGAAAGCTGAAATGTCTCCAAACAACTGAGCATTTGTTCAATTTAATATTAGAGGCTTATTCAATTTTCCATGCACAACTTATTGCAAGTTTTTTTGCTGAATAAATAGTAGAAGGAAAATGATATACTAAAAAGTCTAGAATGAAAAATAAACTGAAATTTTTTCAGTAAAAGAAAAAAAAGAAAAAAAAAATGAAAAATTGCCCATTTTCCTACTTGTCTGACAGCAAAATTTTATTTCTTGCTATATAAATTTGCCATATGATTTTTTTGAACTATACCACTTTTTCTCCAAATATTCTACTGAAGAACTCATATAAAAAGAGTTGCTCCACGTTTAAGAACTCATATAAAAAGAGTTGCTCCACGTTGAAGAACTATCTAAGGTTTGGTGAGGTCACGATAAGCTTAGCTTGATAAAGAGTACTGCATCATGGAGACTCTTAGATGATCATAATTAGTTGAAAGAATAACCAGTTTGACATTAGCTCTACCTTTGGCTTTGTATTCCTGAAGCAGAGCATGATTACAGAAGTAGTTGTAAGGCTAGGATAGAAACTTTTATTCTACCGAAATGGATTACAATCACATGCTCTGGGATTCAAAGGATGTTCTATATATAAGGGAATGTATGTAGGAGTTAGTTATAGGCTTAGGTGATCGAACACTAACAGTACACATGTATTTTGTTGTTTTCTAATTGCAAGCTTAAGCTAGTCAGGTTGTGCTTGTGCTGAGGTACAAGCATTTGGTTTGGAGTGAATATCCTTTGTTTTTGTTATCACCTCCTCACAAGCTAATGGAAGGCCTTGGAGCAGCAACTTGTTACAAAGACTGAGATATTTGTTGGCAGATACGGATTTGGTTGAAAATATCCGCTACTTCAGTTGAGATGCGTTGGACTTTGATGTTGTTAAGTTTGATGCAGTCTATAATAAATGATGGTTAACTTCAATATACTTTGTTCGGGTGTCAAACACAATGATGTTTGCTAGAGTCATTGTTGAGATATTATCGCAATGTAGGCTAGTTGGTGTTGTAGGATCAAGGTGAAATTTTTTGTAGGAGATGGTGTTGCCAGATGATGTCGGCGGCAGCTGTGGAAAGGGCTCTATATTATATTGGTGTTGAAGATTGGGCAACCGTTGGCTTCTTCTTAACATGCCAGAATATGAGGGTGCAACCTCGAAATGCACAATAGTTGGAGATTGATATCTTGTCCATAGGATCACTGGTCTAGTCAAAGTTCGAGTAGGCATGAAGAATGAGGGTGTTAGAGTATATTGACAGACCTTTAGTGATGGTTCCTTTGATATACCGATGTAGTCATTTAAGGTGAGTAAAATGAAGGTTAAGAGGGCGGTGGAGGTTTTGGCATAGCATTTTGACAGAATAAGCATGTTTGGACGAGTGTTGGTGAGATACCGAAGTGATCCGACGAGGTGATGATAGAGTTGTGTGTTGGAGTAATCCTATAGGCTATCACTGGTTGGCTGTTGTTTAATGGGTGAGGGTTTTTGTATGGAATTGCATGTAGTCTTCTGGCTCTGGTGAGGAAATCCATTGCATAAACGTTCGAGTGAGCTACAATCTAACTTCTATGGACGTAACTTGAATGCCCACGAAGTTGGAGATAGGCCTCGAGTTTTTTAGCTAGAAGTGTTCAGTGACTTGAGTGATAATGAACTAACTCATCGTTCCCTGTCATCTAGATGTCTTCTACATATATAAGAATGTATGTTTGAATTGTCTAGGTTTCTTATGTCGTCAACAAAGGATTTAAGTTACTGAACAAGAAGTCAAATGTGTGAAGAATGGAGAAGAATTTAGTGTACTAATGGCGTGTGGATTGTTTGAAGCCATAAATTGTCTTTTTGCCTTGCTAAATATTTCAGAATAGGGATATCCATATTGTTTGAAGTCTAATGCTACATGGTTAGCTATTATCTTGCAATGGTGTCGGCAGATGAAACTTAGTTTTATATGTCCATTTGCATCTGAGTATATGCTGATTGGAGGGTGGTGGAACAAGGATCCAAGTCTATTGGGTGAGAAGAGCCTGAATTTCTCGATCATTGGACGATGCCAGTGGAGATGCTTAACTGCAGCTAAATAGCAGCTGGGATGATCTTTAGTGAGAATTTTGATGTTGTGGTTGAGGTTGAGGATGTGCCTTGGCTTTAGTGTCCTTGTTTTGATCGGCTTATCATGCGGGGTCGTTGAGGCTGATCGATAGGTTGATTTGTTGGAGGTGGAGGGGTAGGGGGATTAGTTTGATGTGGTGAGGGTGTATGCATTTGTTCAGTTGTAGTTTTAAAGCTAGTTGGGTTAGTGTTTCTGGGTGAGGGAGATTAGGGCAAGGTAAGTGGTGGAATGTCAGGTTGGCATGAGGGGAGATGTGCGGGGATGGTTGGGAGTTGATACGTTTAAGTGGAAAGGTGGATTCAGTGAAACAAATGTGAAGAGATATGAAAATTTGTCCTGTCTTTGGATTGAGGCATTTGTAGCCTTATGGTGAGACACGCAACCAATGAAGACTCTTGAAAGTGAGCGAGCGGATAGCTTATTTGGAGAGTGGTTGTAACCATGGGTAGCAAAGACATCCAAGGGTTTTGAGCTGGTTATATTGAGCTCGCTGTTTGTTTAGAAGTTGAAATGGTGATTTATTATTTGTGTGGGAGAGGTGAGCATGATGATGAGGTAAATGGCTATAGGAATAATTTATCAGGACACAGGGAATCTGGTTGATATACAATGGATTTGAGAGCTTGCGAGACTTCAAGGATATGATTGTTCTTGCGTTCAACGAGACCATTTTGCTTTTCAATGCAATGGTAGTTGTATTGTAGGATGCCATGAATATGTAGATAGGTTTGGAGCATTTTATTTGTATATTTATTGTCATTATTTATTCGGAAATTTTGATTGGTTTTTGAAATTGTTATTCAACCAGTGTTTCGAAGTTGACAAATAGTGAAAAGGTTTCTGATTTTTTGTGCATTGGATATAAACAACAGTAACGGGAGTGGACGTCAATAAATGAGATAATAATGTTATCCTTGATTAGAAATAATTGGGGCTAGTTCTCATACATTCGAGTGTATGATAGCTAAGGGATGCAAGCTACGATTGGTGGAGGGGAGAAAGGTTAACTTTGTGACTTTCAGCTATATTACATGAGTTGCAGTATAGTTTAGTAGGTTGAATAAATGAGGGATTTGTAGTTGCTATGAGATGCAACGTTGAAGACTGTGGGTGCCCGAGATGGTGATGCCAGCTGATGGTCACGGAGCTAGTCACAACTAGGGTTGTGGTGGCGATGATAGCTGGTTGGAGTGGATAGAGTCCATTATGGGATGGGCTATTGAGAATGAATGTTTTTTGTTCAACTACCCTTGATGATGTTTCTAATTTGATCAAAATGAAATGGACCAAATTGTAGGTTATGAGTTTTTGAACGGATAGAGGGTGAAATGAACCAAATTGTAGGTTATGAGTTTTTGAACGGATAGAGGGTCGTAATATAGATTCAGAATGGTAGTAATGGGGAATGATAGTTTACAGGATGAAGTCGGGAGAAGGCCATGTCCCGTATGCACAATTGGGAGTGGATGTCCATTGCCCGCGATGAGCTGCCATTATATGGTTGGATATTATGAAGCTAGGTTTGATCAGAGAAAAGGCGAGAGCTAGCTCCTATATCTAGGAACCATTTTGCATCGGGCAGATTGTTGTTGGCAAACAATGCTTGCAGGACAATTGACCTGTAGGAAAGATTGGTTTGGTGCCAACATTTTGCTACCGAGTGTCCTGCTTTGTTGCATATCTTGTAAATGATGGGATAAAGAGATTTGTGCTCTCAATTTCTGGTTGGTTGTAGTTATCATGAGTTTTTATTTGTTGGAATTGGTCTACTTTTTGTTGTGTTGTGGACGCCCTTGACCTCAACTTTGAGCACAGGTTATAACTATGTGGGATATGGGTTATGTTGCAGTTGTAGCTCCCTTTGCGCTTTTATTATCATGTTGTTTTCTTCACTGCAAAGAAGTAGAAGTCATCTGAATTAAATGGTTGCAGATTTGTTTTCATAAAATTCTTGAATGCTTGATATGTGGATGGTAGTCCGTGTAAGGTGTATTGAAATATGTCTTGGGGATCAAGTTTTGATCGTTTTGTTGCTTTAATATCTATTTTGGACTTGATTAGCATTTGGTCAGAGTGAAGTCTTTCATAGAGATGTTATGGAGTTCATTCTCAAGTTGTATGATGAGTGAGCGCTTGGCAGATTGAAGGCGTTGTTCAATGATTATCCATTTTTTTCTTGCAGTACTCTAGATTTAAGACAACGGAGAGATAGGATGGAGATATTATGGAATAAAGCTCCGTAGCGAAGTTTTTATCAATGACTAGCCAAAGAGGATAGATGTGGATCGGATTGAACTGATCTATCATGTAGGACAATTTGATTGGCGTCTGATATGTAGAACATTCTAGGTAAGCGATCGAATCCATTTGCTATGAAGAGACTAAGGATTTTGTATTTTCATATAGGGTGGTTTTTCATAGTTAATTTTCTGTTCATCATTGTTTAATATTGTTCATAGTAAACATCAGCTGCGGTGGAATGGTAATGGTCTCTTATTTTGAGTGGCCTGGTTGTGTTCTCTTTGCTCTCATGCTGGAGGATTGTTCAGACATGATGTGAAACTGGGAACCGTGAGGAGAAGCATATGGATGCGTGGATGTAGGAAATTCCAGTAAGATGAGGCTCTGATACCATGAAGCAGAGCAAGAATACAAAGGAAGTTAGGCTAATGGAAACTTCTATTCGACTGAAAGAGAACACAATCGCACGCTCTGGGATACCAAGAATGGTATATATAAGGGAACATATGTAGGAGGTAGTTACAGGCTCAGGTGATCCAACAGTACACGTGTATTTTGTTATTTTCTATTGGCTATGATTGAGACAGTACAAGCAGTGCTCGTTCTGTGGTTGAAGCATTTGGTTTGGAGTGAATATCCTTTGATTCTATTATCAATTCCTTGTCCTTAAAATGATTTAACCATCTATTTTGGATGCACCCATGTAAATGTGCTTCTTTGCTTTTCCACTCACATGCATATGGACCAATCCAGCGATCTTGTAATTATAAAATTTACTGTGCTAATCAACAAAATTTTCTTGCTCTACCAAAATTTTCATTTCAAGTATGATTTTCTGTTTTCAAATTATACTAAAAATCCGAGGTGTTTTTGGTGCATTATCTTGTATGCTTCTCATATTTCAGATAGATTTAAGCTGCCATAGTCTACTTTTTTTTATTTATATGGTGAAGTTGTTGATGACCAAGTAGTTTTTACATTGAATAGCTGGAAGTTAGAAGTGCCGCAATTGCTTCTATAACTTAATGTTAACATTGATTAAAGTCTAACAGCTATAACTATTTCTTATTGCTAGGACAAGAAAGAAGTAGTCATTGAAAAGATTGTTCGGAATAAGCGTAAGAGTATAACTGTGGTCAAAGGCTTGGAACTATTTGGTGAGTTTTGTTCTATAATCTCTACTCATTTTTCAGATTGATTTGATTTTCAGCATATGTAATGAACAGGTTATACGAAACAATCATATGAATAATGACATTATAATTGTATTACCTGTTTAAACTTGAAAATATGTTAATTATATATTTAGACATCATAACTCCTTTAATTTCTAAGAATTGTTTCTAATTATATATTTAAGCATTGCAAGTCCCTAAACATTTTGATGGAACCAGCAACGGACTCTCGGGTTGGTTTCAAAGCATTGTTCATGGCTTGTTTGGAGGATTTGTCTGTGAGACCTTTTGTTTTTTGTGTGCGCTAAATAGGTGTTAAATTAAGTGATGCATCGAAGAAACTTGGGAAGAAGTTTGCAACTGGAGCATCTATTGTTAAGGTAAACTTTATTTCATTGTCTCTATAATGTTATTCAAACTTAAATAAATGCCTTGATTTTGGTTTTCAGGGTCCAACTGAGAAGGAGCAAATTGATGTCCAAGGAGATATATCGTATGATATAGTAGAATTCATCACAGAAACTTGGTCAGAGGTGATCTTTTATTGCTTTTCCAAATAATGTTCAGTCAAAATGCTCCTTTATAAATTTCTTTTGGTGGGCATATTTTAAAGAAATGCTTATATAAAGTACTCATGCTGGCCCTTTCCTGCTTAGTCAAATAAGCATAACATAAAAGTGAGAATGTGAATATGTTTCATAAATATTCTCATTTCATGCAATCATAAACTTTGATACATCTTCTATATTATCAGGTGCCGGAGTCTGCAATTTTCTTCATTGAAGATGGAAGGAAGGTTCCTGCTGCTTGATTTAAATAACAGTAGAAATTAACTCTTGCCCAGAAACCAGTGGATGCTTCATTTTGGTAAACATTGTGATTGAAGCTCATATTTAGTAAAATATTTATTTTGAACTCCTAATCCTTTCAAAAAAAAAAAATAATCTTTTACTTGTAAAAAAATTAAAAGTATTATATGCAGTTATATTAGATTGATGGTTTTGCCACAATCTGTTTTTTGTAACTTGTTGTTTTGTTAATTTATGTCTGCTTCTAGAAACAAACAAGTTGCATCTGTACTTTTGTATTCAGCTCCAGATTTATTTCTTAGTTCCGTCTCATCTTAGTTCCGTCTCCTCTTCTATATAAGGAGACATATGTATGAGTTGCAGACATCAGACCTTAAGCCAAGAGCCTACTTCTCTCTTCGAGTCTAAGTTTGTGAGTCTTCTATTTTCAATAAAAATTTCTTTAAGTTCATGTTTACATCTCTATTCCGGCTATAAGTTCTTTGTGACTCCCAAGCCGGTGATCCCTGTTTCCGCCTCTTTTTAGTATCAGAGCTATGTTGGTGTAAAACCTTTATAGTATTCTGAGGGATCCGAGTAAGGTTTTTGATGAGTTGATTTGCCAAACTCTTTCATGTTATTTAGCTATCTTTTATACGTTTTGATTTATGATTTTGATTATCTGATTTAAGTTTATAGAATTTACTTAATAGATTTGTTTTCAATTTTGTAATCTTATTTTTATATTATTTTGAGTTAAGAAGCTACTACTTAGCATGATTAGTTAGTAGTCCCGAGTGCCTCGAAGAGATCTCCGAAAACAGTAGGAGCACTGAGGAATTGTACGAACGAAAAGTATATGCTAAGTGTGTTTAGGAACTTAACTTAAGATTTTATAAATCTAATTTTACATTTGAATTTCAGATTTGTTAAAGTTTTTCTAAAATCCTTAGATCTATATGATAAATCATATGGTTAAGATGTATAAGGATGATAGTTTAAGGCATGGACAAGTCAAGCGAGACAACTTATCAATTTTCTAAAAGGTGAACTCAGGATGTTAGCTTTCATATATTGATTTCTTATCCCCAACTATTGCTTTGTATATTTATGAACGATTGGAAGCTTTCATCAGTCTCCACTGATTATAAGTTAGCTCTTTCAGCTACTGATTCCCTAGAACCTCCAGCGTTAGGGTTCGTAAATCCTTCTGACGCTAGACAAAACGTTCCCTCTGCTTTATCTGCTATAATACAGCAGAATAATACTCTCCTTCAATTATTACTTAAAGTTTCTGACATGCTTATTACTGTAGAAGATAAGGTTAAGCAGATCCAACAGAAGGAACTCGAAAGGGAAAAATCTGTTGAAAATTTCATTTATGTGTTATAGAAACAGCTTGAATCTCTATCTTTAGGTAAACCGTCCAGATCGGTGAAACCTACCAAACCAAAAGGCTATATTTTTGTTTTTCAAAATCCTAAAACCATATTTTTGAAAGAAAAACAAAAATATAGTTAAATTCTTGATCTATGGCCTCTACATCTAGGAATAATTCATTTCGTACATCCACTACTCTTCTTCCCACTCCTAACGTACGAAACTCCAATCCTACATCTACTTCCACTTCAAACCTAGATGTTCAAATACATTACTACCGTATGAGGTCACGTATAGCGTACGAGATTCAAAGGAAAATGCCTAGACGGAGATCTTACAATAGAACTCTGGAAAGTCAAATAGATCCAGAGCAGCAATTACAGATCTTACAGCGCAGGCGTGCAAACTTAGTTCCTGCAGAGACTCTATATGAAGATGGCTGGTCTTCAACCAGACATCGGGTTTACCAACACTATTCTGAGGAACGCATACTTGCAACTGAGGGTATGCAGATAAACTTGTCATTCATAAGGCAAGAATCATACCAACGATTAGTCCAAGTGGGGATGCATCACATACATCTTGGATTAATAATGATACGTATTCATACTATACATAGACGAGATGTAGGTACTACGACCTTGATTGTTCTCCGCGATACCATATGGCGTTCTGATGTCTCTATCATCGGTGCAATTGATGTGGATCTTTCTGAAGGTACACAACTCGTTTATATTACTTTGGACATGTTGTCCATACATGATTTCTTGAATCATATTGAGCTTGTGGTACTCACTCACGGTTATGAAGACTGGCAAGGGGGAGAGTCAAATTTCCTAATTACCAGAACTTTAGTTGTCAGACTTACTAACACCAGCCATGCGGGATTTCGTTATAATGTCAACGGAATTGCTGATTATTTGGCAACCCATGGGATTGTTGTTATCCCTGGACAGAAACATTCCATACAGCAACTGCAAGAGCTAGATTGGAATTTCAAGCCCTCTGAAAATACCGGTGTTCAAATACCACGACAACTGGTTACTAGACAATGGATTGATGGTACAATTCGTTTATCTTTCTCGGACTATAATGTTGTTGCACCACCACCTGTACCACAATACTCCTCTCAGGACATTGAAGGTTCTGAGGACGAAGCGGCTTACATGGCTTATGAAGATGGTCCCCCATGGGATTATGAGGAAGATGATGCTGAAAATTTCATAACTATATGCAACGTTGAAGAATATGGTGGTGATGATGAATCAGTCTGGGATCAATCTCCGAGTGAGCACGAAGATGAAGATGAAGATCATTTTTCATTATTTTTATATATAAATAATCTTAATAATTAACAAAGTTCATTCGTTGAAGTTGGTGAAGATGATGTCGCCAATTTTTGCAATTTTGAAACAGATCTTCAAGATCTTTCTTTTGAAACACCAATTAATATGTTTGAGCCAAAACCCTTTGAATTAACTCCACCGTCACAACCTGAAGCTTTACCTATCTCTGGATCATTCTTTAAACCCGAGATGATCTATCCAAATATTGAAGACCAACTTGTAGAGTTGGAATACCCTCGTCTCAGGAAAATGGTTGCTAAAGCAGATAGTGCTTATGCGTTCGTATTCTCTTCCTATTTGCCACCAAATGAACCGGTCATGGGTCCGATTATGTATCCACCTGCATTTTCAGGAGCGTAGGTGGATCCCTCTTCCTCTTCCTCTAATAATTTCCAGAACCTGAGGTAAAGAGTCTCAGACTTCAAAAGATCTTACCAGCAGAACATGTGGACTCTTCCTTCTACACAGAATGCACATGAGTTATGCTTGTTATACCAGATGATTTCTCTCTCTACGATGACGTGATTTCCAGATTGAAGTCAATCACTTTAAATCTGGTAAATGATAAACAGTTTGCCGACAATAAATCAAAGGTGCTGTTTATTGAAAATCAGCTGGGAGAAGTTGAAAAGAAGATATGGATCCAGTGGAGGATGACATACAAGGATGAATATAAAGCTGTAATCAACATTGCTGACGATCCTCAGAATGTTTTATCAGCCATCAGAAGAGTTATTTTATTGGAAGATCCCTATCAAGGCTCACAGATGAGCAAAACAGAGCCTACCTGGATCTAGAAAGATTAACATGTTCAGAAATCAAGAACATGTTTGAATACATGAATGACTACAAAGTCTTAGCTGCGAAGTTTGGACGAATGTATATTAGTCCAGAATTATCAGATATTTTTTTCAGAAAAATGTCTCCTATTATCGGCAACGAAATTAAGAAAGCATTTTAAAAAGAAATACCCCGGAAATACAGTAGGGGTTATGCCCAGAATCAGATTTACTTATCAATATCTTGCAGAGTTATGCAAGAGGGCTGCGGTACAGACATGAATTAAAGACCTCTCTCTGTGGAAGAAGATACCAGTGCCTGGTTTTTACAACGAGCACAAAAAGTACGGCTTATGCAAATCCAAAAATTATAAAGGAAAACCGCACGATTCTCATGTGCGTGTTATCAAAAATAAAAACAAGCCAAAATCTTCCAAATACAGATGTTATATATGTGGCGATGAAGGGCATTTCACCAAGGAATGTAAAAGTAAGAAGGGCAACATGGCTCGAGCAGCCATACTGAATAACCTGGAGCTTCCAGATAATTACAATGTCCTTTCAATAGATTTTAACGAAGAATCATCTGATGCAATCTGTTTTATTTTTTAGGGTGAAGGAGCAAATACCCTCACACACATCCGCAGTGCTTTAGAAAATTACCCCATTGAAGAATTTGAGCTTATGATGAAAGAAGACTACGAATGGAGATGTTTGATCAAACTAAAGGATGATCAGGATAAATTCTCACACCAATTGGAGCATAATAAGTCCTTGAAAAGTCACTACTCTCGTTGCTCTTAATGTGGGAAAAATGCTCACACCACTGTGTAGTTAATTTGCATAAAATACAGTGTATCATCATACTTGAATTTGTAATAATGAAACAGTAAGTTAATTTGCATAAAATACAAAGGGCCAGTAGACAAAAACAATCGATTAGTTAACAAGTTCATCATGTTGAAAGCGCCTTTGAACAGGATGTTCCGAGCTACATATGTAAACCAGAATATTGTCGTCCTGGTAGTTTTTAATCGTCGTCGTAACAACGATGGCATTGTTGTATGGATTCCATGCAGGGTCAAGTCACTATTAGTAAATATGATCGAGGGATGGGGTTTCCTCTTTGATCAATAGTGCAGTAATCTCCAGATTTGTCCCTCTTTTGGTCGGGTCTTCTACCAAATCTCCTCCCAGTATCGTTAGCTTATATTCGTGTTTTAGACAAGTAAACAAATAATTTTTTTTGGGCAATTACATATAATATATAATTATAATTTTTTTAATTTATTTTTTATCCTGTGCTACCGAGGTTATAAGAAAATCATAGATATTAATAACAATATTCACGTTCAACACAAAATCTATTTTCATTTGAGCATTTAATTATGTAAAAGACGTAGGGATCCATCCAAGTTTTTATACCCTTAGCTTCCACCTCCATTGCCTCTAGCTCTTCTATGGTTGGTCGGAAAAGCCTTCATGGCATCTTTCTTCAAAGCATATGTTCCTTAACTGAAGATGAGCCACTTGGCTTTCTTCCCGTCTAACATGTTCAATTTTGGAAGCCTGTAGCCTATCCTGTCTCCATTTTTGCCCTGTTCAAATATTTACTATCATCTCATCCCGAGCCTCAAATTTCAAATTGACTTGGTTGGGAATAAGTTGAGAAGTCAACTGAACCACTCAATGTCGGACGCTCATTTCGAGGGCTAGTCGTAATCCTGTTATTAGCTCTTTGTATTATGTTTAATTATTGTAACCTCAAAATCAAGGGTGACCAATTCTCACACATGCTTGGCCGAAGGCATTATCGATTTACAGGATCCAAGTTTGCTCCCTTATTTTGGTTCCCTCACTCAAGTTGTCGGGTTCTGAGAAGTCAGCTACAACCCGAGCCTTAATCGTCATATGGGGAATGCAATTGATGTTGTAATCATTAAGTTCCACAGCCCACTCCATAAG